GTGCAAAACTGTTGGAGACGCCCTATTTAAATGATGGTTTTGCGCGTTTTGTGGTTTGCGGCAAAGTAGTTTGTAGTTTGTGCAAACTAGTGCATTAAGAAATTTTAATCTTACAGTGACACCCCCACCCCCTCCAATTAAAAATAAATAAATAATAAAATAAAATTAAAATAAATATATATATATATATATATATATATATATATATATATATATATATATATATATATATATATATATATATATATATATATATATATATATTTTGCAGTAAAAAAAAAAACAAAAAAAACAGGTGTTTTGTATTGGCCTCTAGAAAAATGCACATACCAAATGGCTCACAAGAAGTGACTGTGGATAAGATGACTGTGCCTACGCATCCCTGCAGCATTGGCATGTTGCTCCACAGGCGCAAGGAGCAGGTCGGGGTTCTCTCCGGTAGGGCGTCAGGGCGACATGGCATTTAGAACGTCGGACAGCACTTCTGAAAAACGAGATTGGGAGATCCCAGATCCCAGATGCAAAAAAGTGCAATGTTGCAAGGAGTTTTGTGATATCTGGAATTGCGTGGGTCCTCCTTGTGGCTGGCTCCAAATCCATTCGGAGTTCCCCCAACAGCTCCAAAATGGCAATGCTGGATAAACGATATGTTTTGAGGATCGTTTCCTCGTTCATTGCAAAAATATTCACACAGAGTGAAAAAATGCGTTCTCTGCGTCTCCTTGCTTATTTCGATACCATGTGTGCGCAATTACGCATACAGACCATTTGCACCTTCTTTTGAAACGTGTTAAATATAGAGTCAGATACCGTAAGCAAAATTGCTTTCAGGTTTGATAAATCACTTTGCGAGTGCTAAATTAATATATTTACATGTTCTCCTCCCACAAGACGCACTTTTGCGTGTAAACGCCCCGTATTGCATATTCATTGCAGAAAAAGTACTAAATGGATAAGAGGCGCAATTTAGCACGTTTTAAAGACCAAATCCTTTTAGCACGCTGTTGATAGATCAGTTTGTACATTTTTTAGCGTGCGCAGTGAAATAGCTCACGTTTTAGTACACGCAAACCTTTGATAGATCCGGCCCTATGTGTGGTGAGCTATGGTTTCAGCCAGTCATTGAAGCAAGCTTTTCTCACCACGTTCCTTTGAAAATGGCCCAGGGTGATAAGAGAAAAGGTGTCTATGAAGTGTATTAGAAGAACAGAAATGCATCAGAAGAGGCAGTTATGTGCGGAGAGCTCTCCTCGCAAAGCATTGTGGGATTTTCTGTCTCAGTGGCCCGCTGTCAGGTACTAATAACAAAGACAGCGCAGGCACAGCACAGTAGAGGAGGAGTTGTCTTAGGGCAGGTCCCTTAGAAAATTGGCGAAAATCCTCCACAATACCTTTAACTTAAAAAAAAGGGTTGAACGGTTTGATTAAAACATCAAAACAACTAAAAGGTGTGTTTCTAAAATGTTCCCTTGAGCTTTAAACCCACTGAGCTTTACCCTGAACCCTTAATCTTTACTCAAATGGTAGTGAGGTTCCGGTTGGTCTTAGACAGAATTAAAAAATAGTAACATTTTGTGGAAATATGATGTTCTTAAACACCACAACTTGCAGTAAATCTGCCTATTGAAAAAGCTCTGAAAAGGTTAAAAAAAATCTGGGATTTTCTGTGATTAAACCATAATTTTATATGGATGTCCCACCAAAACTCCAAAGAATCAAGTATAATAAACGTTTAATATATTTAAAGAAACCCAAAGTCTGTGATGAATGAGCTTCACATTAATTATCCCTCTACCAAGGCAGGTTTCTGAGGGCATTTTGTTTAGGGAGGAGCTTAAAAAATCTACCTTGCTTCTTAGCAAAGGTTCCTGCACTGGAGGTGCACCCTAGGAAGATGCGTGACATGTCGTCAGCTGTTGACTGCCTCTGTTTTAGAATCGTCACACTTCATTTCAATTTGATTGGTTTCATGGTTTCATCTCTGCTCTTTGCAGGGATGTGCTCCGAGGAAAATAAAGAACAGATGTATGACGAAGTGCAGAAAGTGGCGTGATTGTGATAGGTCTCATTAATGTTAATCCTTCCAGTACTTTAGGCTCATTACTTCAGGCATGCCCACTCAGCAGATGACTCACTTGCTGTCGATAAAAAACACTGGGTAAAGCTGGAGAACTCATTCATTTAGGATTATCACTTTGCCAATTCCTGTTTTTCCTACTTAGCTAAGGCTGAACACAATGAATATATATCTGACTGGATATGTGTGTCTATCGATTACAAAGATAGAAGGAGAGGCAGGCATGTGTAATTATAACTTCTCAATGTACAACAAAGTCCTGCAGCGCTGATGACAGCTGCTAAACCCAAGAAAAAATCCAATCAACATTTTAGTTTATCAGCCAATAAAGTACAGTTCTGAAGGAAGGAAGGAAGGAAGGAAGGAAGGAAGGAAGGAAGGAAGGAAGGAAGGAAGGAAGGAAGGAAGGAAGGAAGGAAGGAAGGAAGGAAGGAAGGAAGGAAGGAAGGAAGGAAGGAAGGAAGGAAGGAAGGAAGGAAGAAGGAAGGAAGGGTTATCGGCTCTTTGTTAAACCGTCTCATAAAAAATCCAATTGGAATACATTAAAGCTTTTGCTGAGACCAAAATGTTGCCAAAGAACCATGTTAATTGATGTCAGTACAACACTCCTGAGATAATGATAAAGAGACCGATGGCTCATGCTCCAATTTTTAAAAAGTTGCTTGACTTTGAAAACTACCTGCAGCACGAGGTCCAGTAAGTAGTTTAGCAGACTGGCAGGAAAGGAGCATACAGTTCCTGGAAAGCACATCAGCAGAGCGCTGTGGAGTGACACAGCTTTACAAAGGCATGGTGGATGCTTTATTCTGACTTCCTGGCCCTCTTTTCATCCACATCTAATGGAACTGAGGATTTTCTGAAGATTTTTTTTTTTTTTTGCTGTACTTGCAAAACAGTGGAAGCTGAAAACCAAACATTTAAGCTATTCTTTTCCTATCAAATCCCAGGAAACTAACATGGTTTTGCTTCCATCTTAAGGCCAATGAACATCTAGAATACTGGCTTTATGCTTTCCAGCTGATTTTTTTTCTTTTACATTAATCGGGTTCAAACAAGGCGAATTCCCTTAATTTATTATTTCATCATATCTCACTCTTCAGCTCATTAGTGAAATTTCTATATTTGCCAATCCTAACAGAAATATACGCACTTTACATTTAACAATAAAAATAAATGTGTTATAGAGCTACTCATCTCATTGAAGTCCTGTGATTTTTCACAAGAACTACATTGTAGGTGATGAAGACTGTAGAACCCTTGGCTTCAGGCCCCTAAAGCACTGCAGGAATAAATGTTTCCATCTACTGGTGGATAATGTGTATTTCAAGTTGTATGTATTTTCTATTTTATATGAATTTTGTATTTCTGTATGTCAAGTGGACAAGAGCTTCAGAGGTTAAATCACCAGTGAGAGCCACATCTGAGCTCCGGGCAGGTCTGCCCCAGGGCACCTCTGCGGAGCGACCGCTCAGCTGTTACACAACCAGACATCCTCAAAATGTTCAAGTCAGAATCTCATTCATTCCTGCAGCTCACTCAAATCAGCTGGGTCAGACCAAGCCTGGACAAGGCCTTTGGCAGGATTACATCTAAGGGGTCCATCTTCAATTAAGCCCACCACCCACTGCAGCACTCTTAAACTCCTTTTTGTACTTTTAATACCGCATCAGATTTTCTTTTTTTTAATTAACAGCAATGAGTAAACATGGCTGCGTGACACAATGTTGCTGACTATCACACCGCTGCCCAAATAACTGGGACAGAGAGCTCAGTTAATTATCTTTCAGGTATTACTCTTGAATGTTTTCAAACTATGCAATAATCTCAATAAGTAACAATATAATCAAAAAGTTAATCTATCATGGTATTTAAATAAAAAAGAAACCCACATACCATATATAATTATCACATACAAAGTAATACAGTTGCTTTTTTTAAGTTATTGTATGACTTTTGTTTAGAGCTACAAAATTTAGTTTCACAGAAAATCTTATTTGAGATAAATAAAAATGGGTTTTATGACAGGAAGATCTGACTGCTGAAAAGCATGTTCATGTAAGCCACACTCCAGTTTTACTGTGTTTCCTTTGCATAGTATACCTTATCAATACGGCATCACATGGAGGCACTAAGCCTGTGGCTCTGCTGCAATGTTAAACTGCATTGTTTTGAGCTTGTATCACTCATCTTCTGCTTTAAAACACTCCTAATATTCTCTGTGGGGTTGGAGCTCAGGTGAGTTAGGTTTCCAATAAAGAACAATCGTATCATCATCAGTAAACCGTGTATTTGTTCTTATTTCAGTGTATGTGAGTGCAAGCTGAACATGATGACTTGATGAGATGAATGGAGTCTGGTGTGCAATTGCTTGGTTGAAAAGAAAACCTGCAGCCACACGGCCCTTTCTGGAACCGGTTTAAGACCGCTGTAAAGCAGTAATATATCAGCAGTGGTGAGCATGAAGTGCTTCTTATTGGACTCCTGCTCTCATGGACTTGATGAAACTCAGTGGACCAAGGCCAGCAGATAGCATGGCTTCCAAATCATAAGAGATACTATTAATGACAATTTAACTTTTTTGATCCCTCACTGGAGAAATTTAGCTCTACATTTGACCCATACCCATGGGGATGCTGAGGTTGCCACTGTGCAGCGCCCAGGGAGCAGTGTGGGGTTAAGGAGCTGGAGTGCAGGCTGTGGGGATCGAACCAGGTACTTACAACCTTCTCAGAGGCAGGATTACACTGCTCTAACCCACTAGGCCTATAGTGGGTTAGTCTCTGCTTTGAGAATGCAATATATATATATATATTTGGACCCCTGTGTGTGCATTCAAGTTCTATTGGGACCCAAAGCACCCGCATTGTCAGCATACAGTATATGGCAAACTCTACAGACAAGGAAAAAGTTGAATTGTCATTACCTGGGGGGCAATTGCAGTCAGCTGAGGCTTGTCTTGCAGTCCTTATCTTGACGAAATTCTCATAAGAGCGCTAAAATTGCACAAGAATGTCACTTTTATTTATCTGCACGCAAAAGTGAGACGGAATCATATAGGCAGCAAAAAAAAAAAAAAAGTGCAAAGTGGGGTTTACCTGAGAGAGCAGCTCATCCACTCTCTGCTGCACCAGAGAATTGAAATCCTCCATGGAGTATCCGCGGACCTGGATGAAGGTGCGCTCCGCAGCCCCGCTCTCCAAACCAACAACTCGACTCCTGACGTCCGCCGCGCTGATGCTCAGATGGACGCAGAACGCGATGGATGCCACTGAACATAAAGACGAGATGATGTGCAGAGCTGCGGAGCGATACTGTCGCTTCACCTCTTTCTCCATATTTTCCTTCTCCCTCTTAATAAAAATGTATCTCCACGAACTAAATGCTCCTCTTCTATCCTCGATCCCCAGAATTCAACTGCGCGATAAAGCGCATCTGGTGCGGAGTCACGAAAGGGATGGCACGCTGCTGCTCTGAATGGGTGCGCGCGTCTGACACAGGGAGAGAGAGAGACTGCGACGATGCGTTCACGTACTTTCTGGTGACAGGGTAGGATAGATGAGTGGAGCTCCTGCAAACTTGTTGCACAGTAGCCTGCTGGGGAGGGAAGCTCTTATTACGCACGGTAACCTTAAAGGAGAGACGCGCTGAGAGGGAATGGGAGGCAGTGCGCAAGTTGGAGAGACATCTCCCACTCTCATTAAGGCAACAAACCACCTCCCACCTGCCATGACTTATTAGCATAATTTATTAAACCCCCCACCCCATTAGGAAGGCTCAGCTGCCATTAGTTGCTGTGACGCGCAGTTATGCTGCTTCTTTCCCTGTGAGATCCACCACTTGTGGAGCTCATTTAGGGCCTGCGTAAGAATGCTTTTAACGGATTAAAAGTATGGTTCATCATAAGGACTCTAAGTAACACTATTTGGAAAATAAAGCTGAAAGCTTGCGGTTTGTTGCGTAAATGCGCAAAAAAAAAGGAAGCGGACTACAGGGAATTAAAGGGATATGCATATTGATATGCAAAGAAATGTTTTGATAAATCATGAAAAGCTACGTACTTCACGATTAAGCTGATTTTCTTACTTCTTTCGTGATTACATATATACATTAAACCCTAATTTAATAATTATATATAACAAATTATCTAGATCTGCATTCAATAGGCATATGATTAACATAATAACAATGGTCAAATTACAGTCTATGCTACATGTTTGCAGGTTTCCCATCAATTGACATGTTTTTATAAAAATAAAAAAAAGAAACATCTGAGCAGCTTATTTAATAGCGTTATAAATACTTGCCACTCTTTGTCGCCATCATCCGGTCAATATCAGTTATAAACGCGAAAGAAGTGATAAAAAAAGAAATAATGTAATAATAAAACATCTAAATATCAATTAATGTTTAACAGGGAAAAAACAGTACAACGTTGTGCATGAAGCTTTGAGAAAAATCATCTCATGTTAAAAAATCAAATGTTAAAAAGTTATAATATTTTGTATAGTATTTTTTTTACCTTCAAATATCCTGAAGCAAATACATTTTAGAAGAACATGTATGTGTAATTACAGCTGAAAGCCTTTTGTAATGTGTCTTTATGTGTTGCACATCTATAAAATAAACTCACTGCCCACTCTTGATTGAACAATGAACTTTGATTTTCAAGTTTTACAAAATATTCTTAAATGGCTTCCTTGCAGCAAGAAGGTTCTGGGTTTAATTCCCAGCCTGTGATTTTCCTGCATGGAGTTTGCATGTTCTCCCTGAGCATACGTGGGTTCTCTCTCGGTACTCTGACTTCCTCGTGCAGTCCAAAAAAAAACAAAAAACATCATGACTGTTAGGTTAATTGGATTCTCTAAATTCTCCTTAGGTGTGAGTGTGTGCATGTGTACCCCACCTCTCACCTGTAGACAGCTGGAGATAGACACCAGCATCCCCCTCGACCCCCGCAGGGAGAAGAGGGATGGATGGATGGATGGATGGATGGATGGATGGATGGATGGATGGATGGATGGATGGATGGATGGATGGATGGATGGATGGATGGATGGATGGATGGATGGGATCTAAACTTTTAACGTGATTGAATAAAATAAAAAGTGTAAAAGTATTGTAAATTGGTATGTTTTTTAATAATGCCTGTTTATGATAGTTAATATAAGCGATAAAATAGATATAAAGATCAACAAATAGGGAACAATATACTTCTTTTGATTAAACCTGAAAGATAAATGCATGAATATTCAGCAGTCTCATTCAGTTCTTACAATTAATGGTAATTCAGATCCCAACTGTTTTTCAAAATAAGTCTGGGTGAAGTGAGTTATTTAAAGTTTGTCCATTTCAGAGGAGGAGGGGATGCGTTTTTCTTTCACCTGGTTTGATTGGAAACCTCCTTCACATCCTCCTTGCTTGCTTTTAGGCTTTCAAGTGATATAAAAGCATAAAAGTCCAGCTTCTAAGATATGTTTGTCAATATAGTCATAATATAGACTTATTGTAAATGTGTTTTAGTTACAGCACGGACAGTGTGTAGTTATATAATAGCTCATAAAAGAAGAAAGGGTTAAAAAATCTGGGTGAGGGGTTTAATCTGACACCAATCCAATCAGTAGCAGAAAGTTTGAAGTGGTAGAAAATGGGAGGCCAGATTGCAACCAATCACAGTCAATCCACTCAACTAGAAAAAAGAAATAAGAAAACAAACAAAGCCTGTGGAGTACAAAGAAGCAAGGCTGTATCCTAGGGGATATAGTAGTCCAGAACAACAATTCAGCATCATTCAAGTACTTTGTGTGTACAATCAAAGCACAATATTCACTTAAATATTTGATTTAATTATTTTTAATAATTAAATATCAAATTAAAATCCTCTAAAATCACTCTAACACACTGTGTGCATAGCAGAACATCTGACTCCCTTCTTTGAACAGGTTAACCAAGTTCTTTATTCTATAAAGACAGAATGTACTTTGGTTCTCAATAGTTTATGGACAATTATATTAGGTGCATGGCCAAAACAGAAAATGACTAGTTAGTGATGCTATAATAAAACACATTGATCTTAGTTACATTGAATAATGTCCTAAAAATATTAGTGCTCACTTGAGAGTCCAGTGAAAGAATTGCTAGACAACCTACTGTATGTAAAAAAAAAAAAAAAAAAAAGTTCTGTTTTTATTTAATGGTCTCTTTCTCCATTCCTCAATGTTTGGATATATGGACAATCTGCACAGACAACTCAAACATCCACCAATCTACCCTGTTATTCTTCACAAAAAGCTGGTTGAGTGATATCTGCCTGATTCCTGCCAGTTTTGTGTGAACCAAGGCACTGGGCTCTTCACAGAGAGAAAAGAACAATCTGCTTTTTCATAAACAACGGCTGTTGCACTGATTTCGTGTTTAAATATATTATATATTATATATATATATATATATATATATTATATATTATATATTATATATTATATTATTGAATTTTTTTGCAAGAAAATACAAAACAAAAAAGAACCCCAATATCCCACCCACCCCAGCTGTCACCGTGAAAGCAATACATTGCACTGACATGCCAGATCACAGAGAGAAGTTGTACGTTTCAAAATAAATACAGATACAGTACGAAAGTAAAAATTAAGAAATAAAAGACAGCCATCAAGGACTATACCAATGTTGCTGGGTTATCAAAAAATATAAAAAAGGGTTTCCAGACCTTTAAAAATTTCTGTTCAGAACCACGTAGCGAATATCTGATTTTTTCAAGTTTGAGGTTCAATAAGACCTCTTTAATCCAGTGAGACAGTGACGGTGGTAGAGAGTCTTTCCACTTTAAAAGGATAAGACGACGTGCCAGTAGAGTAGAAAAAGCTATCACTTTGTGACCTCCGACTGGGAGTCGAGTCCCCCCCGGGAGTACTCCCTCAGAAGTTACCCCAAATAGTGCGATTAGAGGATTAAGGGGAATCTCAACACCCAGAACAGTAGATAATGCCTCAAATACACCTTTCCAAAATCCCTCCAAACTGGAGCAAGTCCAAAACATATGAAGCAGAGTGGCCTCACCTCTCTTGCACCGGTCACATGTAGCATCCGTTTGTGGATACATTTTTGCCAATTTAGATTTTGACATGTGTACTCTGTGAACAACTTTAAACTGGATTAGCGAGTGGCGCGCACACATGGACAAGGAGTTGACACGTTTTAATATATTGGCCCATAGATTATCATCAATAGGTGTCTGGAGATCTATGGCCCAAGACTTCTGTATTTTAGAGTCACATAAGGACACACAATCTAATTGTTTAGCTATAAAGGAAATTGCCCCTTTCTTCTTAATTCCAAAGTTAAAAATATGATCCAGTATACCTTTTGTGGGTTTGTGCGGAAACTCTGAATTTGTCTCCTTCACGTAGTGTCTGACCTGTAGGTATCTAAAAAAGCCAGACGCAGGCAGTGAGAATTTCTGAGAGAGCTGTGCCAAAGAGGCAAAAACCCCCTCTATATAGAGATCATCTATAGTTTTAATGCCTTTGTTATGCCAGGCTGTAAAAGTTTTGTCATGCATTGATGGCTGAAAGAGATGATTTTGTAATATTGGACTGAATAATCCACTTTCCTGCAATTTATAGTATTTTCTAAATTGTATATATATTTTGCAAGATTGTATAACTGTAGAGTCTGCATTTTTAAGATCAGGTAGAGTGGCTGGCATGGGTGAGGCCAAAAATGCAGACAGATTTACAGGATTACAAAAATGACGTTCCATAGTTACCCACAAAGGGCAGTCCTCCTCAGGTCTACAATGCACCCAGAACATCATGGAATGTAAATTTGCAGCCCAATAGTACAGTCTAAAATTTACCAAAGCTAGGCCTCCATTTTGTTTATTCTTTTGAAGAAAGTCCTTACGAAGGCGAGGGTTCTTGCCACTCCAGATAAACCATGATAAGGCTGCATCTAGCTTTTTAAAGTAACTCCCAGGTATAAATAAGGGCAAACATTGAAACAAATACAAGTACTTTGGAAGTACAATCATATTGATTGAATTAATCCTGCCAATGAGTGAGATAGGAAGAACAGACCAAGATGAAAAGTCTTGTTTGGTGTCATTTAGAAGCTTTCCAAAGTTATGTTCGAATAAATTTGAGATTTTTTTTGTAATCACAACACCAAGATAGTTGAAATTATCTTGGGTGATTTTGAATGGGACTTGGATCGACTCCAGTACCGAGGCAGCTAAATTTAGAGGCATTATTTCACTTTTTTGTAAATTTAATTTATAACCTGAGACCTCCCCAAAACGTTGAACAATGTTGATGATATGAGGGATTGCGGACTCAGCATGTGAAACATATAAGAGGAGGTCGTCCGCATATAATGACAGTTTATGCACCGTATTTCCCCTAAGGATACCTGTGATATTGTGATTAGCCCATATGGCCAAAGCGAGCGGCTCTATGGCCAAAACAAACAGAAGTGGACTAAGGGGACAGCCTTGTTTGGTCCCGCGATGAAGTTGGAAAGGTTCAGAATATACGTTGTTAGTCAAAACTGTAGCAGAAGGAGATAAGTAAAGTAGCCGGATCCATGCCATAAAACATGGCCCAAAACCAAATTTGGCAAGTGTTTGAAGAAGGAACTCCCATTCAACCCTATCGAATGCCTTCTCTGCATCC